CTAGTGCAATAAAACTTGGCTCCATTTCTTGGTCAGTAGGTATAAAAGGAAATCATGGAGGAGAAAAATGTGTGCAGCCTTGTACGGCAACAGCATTTAAAATGTACTAAAAAATGAAATTGTCTCACATGGGAGGGCCAAATACTTCAGTAACTTAGGACCTTTCTGTAAATGTAGTACTTAACAATCCTGAAATCATGTTGCAGAATAACTAGGGCTGGAAGGGGCCTCACTTGGAATCTTTCTCACAATGACATGAGGAATTACTATAATATTCATTAGATTTTTCTCTAGCATTCAAGTTAATATAAAATAAATGAGGCTAAATAGTACCTCAATACTAACTCAGAAATGCTCAACCCAGATGGCTCTGACTGTGCAGTAGTGCAGGATCTTCAGAAATATGCAAACCCTACTTTGTTTTTGCTGTGAAATGTACTTAATGGCCTTGGTTAACTGCTGGAGTGGTGGAAAAGGAGACTTTTTGTCACAATCTGTGGTATTGATGATTCCGAGATTGTAGAAAGCCTCTGTCTTTTTGCCCCGCTGCCAAAGAAGAAATCATAATTTGTCTGTGCTGTTTTCAAGGTTGTTTATTCTGTTTATCTCTAACATGTTCTGCTGCCCTGCCCAGCTCTGTCCTGCAGGGCAGCGTGTGGGGCTCTGCCCTCAGTGGGATGTTACAAACATTAAATACCAGAAACTCCCTGTGCTGGATTTACAATAATGTGCCAATATCTGTAACCTACATTGAACAGTGTGTCCCCAGCCTAAACCAACAGAAAAATGCCAACACCACAGTGAAACATGGAGGGCATGAAGAAGGAGAAAAAGGACAAGATACACCCAATTTCCTCCATCTTGTCCCCTTTGGACCCCTTATCTAGAATCCTAAAATTTTACTTTTGCACCTGTGCCACACTTTATTATTACTTATATCAAACACTCAGAGCTTGTAATTCATCCTGTAAGATTGAAAACTGTTTTCCATGGCCAGAGATCACAGACAGTGTCTCTGGGGGCTCTGTACAGGGGGGTTCCTGACCCCCTGCCAGGGTCCCAGGGCAGCCAGAGGGAAGCCCTGGATTCTGACAACTTTTTATTTGTTTTAATGAGCTCTCTCCACAGAAGAGCAGGAAAAGGCCATGCCAGCCTGGGCTGAAGATGCCTGAGTTATCATAGGTTTACTAAATGACTGTTTTCTTTCTAGATTCCAGCCTATGGAGAAGTGCACATAAGAACAGGATAAATATGGCTTTTAAGGGCGAGGACCACTTAGATTCCCTTTCCTTACCAGTTCAGCGGTAAGTGGTACACTCTATCATCCAGATTTGAGTGATTAAATGGTTCTGAGGCAGCAGCTACACTTTCCTCTGAGGCTCTGAAGATACTTAAAGGCTCATTTTTAAACCCAGTAGTATTCCTATGGAATTTGTAGAATGAATGTGGAAATTTGAGATATATTTCTTAAGGCATTTGGAAATTTGTATACCTGGAGTGTGGTAAATCATGGCAGTGTTTCTGCAGCCATCATTTTAAATGGATAACCATGTTTGCAGTAGACTGTGCTTACTGGACTGCTTCTTAGTCATGATGGAAATGGCTGGAACCCTCTGCACTCTGTGAAGACTGCTGAAAGCTATAAATGAGAATTTGTTTAGCATGGTTGACTTTGTTTTATATTTTGACAAAGAGCTGCACTCAGTGGGGCAATTCTCTATAGAGAAATTGAAAAATAAATAAATAAGTACTCTCCCTCACCCACAATAAAATAAAAAGCT